CATTATGAATTGGATCGGATCCAAATTAGAGATTTTATGAAAACTCTTATCGGAAAACATAAAGATACAATAAACATGCATTTGAATATATAATCTAAATTGTTCTCTTTAGTAGAACAATAGTAACTGTTTACCTAAATCAGCAGTATAATCATATAAGGAAAACATTTGCATTGGAAGAATAAAGAAAAGGTCCTGGGCCCTGCAAAGGACAACTCTGGTGAGGCTGGTAAATGTCATCCTCTGATTTCATAAATAAGGCCAATAGATTTTTATTCTGTGGATATCTTTTCAGTATTTTCCAGGCTTTTTCTTTCTGGACAGAAATACCTGCCACTAGGTTATCTTCAAAACCTGTTCGATTTATGTTAGATTCATTTTTATTTTTAAATACAGGGCTACAAATCATTATGCTTAATCACTGAAGAGCCTAACAGCACAATTTTATACACATTCTGGCAGGTTTGCATTTAATAGTGGTATGTGTGTGTTTGTGCACATGTACTGTATACCTTCGAGTCAATGGCAAGTGACCTGGACAAGTTCCTGTACTTTTCTTGTCAATATTTCAGATTGATTGGCCATTGCCTGCTTCCTAAGGCTGAGAGAGAGTGACTGGCCTGGGTGACAGTTGGCTTCATTCCTAAGGCAAAACTAGAACTCACAACCTCCCATATTCTAGCCTGATGGCTTAACCACTATACCAAACTGACTCCTAGTAATGCTTACTTCTTAATATATAAAAGATTAAAGACAATATAGGATCAAATGTGAACTTTTAATTTAGAGTTTCAGTGATTGTTTGATTATCTCCTGTCATGTTGTTAACAACCACATAGATAGGTTTCCTCCATGAAGAATCTTTTGATTTGTGTGAAATAAGTTATCAGTTCACAAGCACTTGAAAAATTGTAATTTCAGAAATATTGAGAATGCTACTGAATATTAGCTTGAGCAAGACTGCTCCCTTTCCCACAGCAGATAGTGGTGAGTGTATTCTAAACCAGTAAGAATTCTTAATTCAAAAAGAAATTATGATGAGATCCATCATTGCTGGTGTTGGTACATTATTAGCGGCTAGCTTCAGTTCTTTGAGGGCACTTGAGAATTTCAGGAAACTGAAGATTCATTTTTTTTTCTGATAGAGTAGGTTAATAAAAATAGCAAAAGAAGATAAAGAATTATCCAAACTATCTACTTAGTCTTACGGATAAGCTGTAGTCAGATGTTTATACACTCTCTCCTCATTTAGTGACTGCATTTCATTCCATTATTTTGGTCACTAAGCAAAATAGTCATGAGGTGATCATGTGACTGAGAAAGACACTGCAAACATCACTGATTGCTGTGCTCACATTCAGATCACGTGCCTCACTCTTTTTTTCTTTTATCTTTTATCCCTTTGCAAGACAGAGATTGCTTAAACAAGCTATCTCTTCCTGAACTGCTTTTCTCTAAAGTGCAGGGTTTCCATAAAAAGTACTAACTGCTAGTTAACAAGCTCAACTTTGTGACCTTAATTGCTTGACTAGAAACCTCCTGCTGGCTGCACAGCTGCCTGAAACTCACCAGGCCTTAATCAGTTTCACATTGAAGGCTTTTGTTGTTAGGTGCAAGAAATTTGGTGAGAAATGTGCCCATTGGTCAGAAAATTGTTCTTTTTAATTAATGTTTATTACTCTCATACATGTGAATTGTCACTAAATGAGGCAGTTACTAAACAAGGAGTGGCTGTATTTTTTTTATGTGGATTTAGTTAGCTGATAACACTCTAAAGCAGGGGTGTCAAACTGCTGGCCCATGGGCCGGATGTGTCATGCTGGAATAGCGCCCACCCCAGCTCCAGCAATGGGGAAAAAGTCACGATATGTCACGACATGCTCTAAAGCAAAAATAGTCTGGTTGAGGTTTCACAATCATAACGCAAGGGAACGGATACATATGTAACTGAGATGCACAGATTTCTAGGAATCCAAGATTCCCTGTTAAGGTGCACATAAAATGATAGGATAGTAGGAAAGGTTGGAGCCTTGCGCAGGCCTGGAAATCTTCTACTTACAAAGAACTTGAAGATAGAGCCATTATATATAAAATTCTATTTAACATTATTTTACATGTTTGTGCACATTCCTATGCATACCTGTAGGGCAGGGGTGTTAAACTCACAACGTCATGTGACCTGTCATGACGTATCACAACTTTTTTTCCATTGCCGGCAATGAGGTGGGCGCGGTTCCGACATGATGCATCTGGCCTGCGGGCCAGCAGTTCGATACCCCTGCTGTAGGGAATTAACATAGGGATCTTTAAAGAGATAGACATAGAGATATAGAGACATACATATACACATACATATACACACTGCAGTATTTTGATACCATATATAACACGGTAGGCTTTGTAATGGACTAGTTGTTATATGTGGCAATAATATTCGACCATATAATGACCTTTTCTATGGCAAAAAATGTTCATGCAATAAATATACTAAATTTTAATATTAAAGATATGTTAGGTAATATTAACAATTAATATTAAAATATTTTAATAATCTGAAAACCAATAATATTTTTGTAATACAGTTTAGCTTTATGGCACCATCTTCTGGTCACTCTATTAAATTATTTTGATTTAACAAAAGTCATGGTTGCTCACATGATTCAAAATTCTCATGCAGCTACTAGTTACTCTTTGCTTACTTGCTGTTCATTTTATTTAGAATTATTTTCTGACTCCCCTTCAGAGAACGGTATATATTCAATATTATAGTTACACTGTTGATCAGTAATCCAGTTCTTAAACTAAGGTTTTTACAGTAAAGATAGAAGAACTTACTGTCATTTATTCTGGAAAATCCAGTATTAAAATCTTTCATGAAGTACTGGGATAAGAATAAAAATCATTCGCCTTCATGGTACCATGAATGTTATTTTTGAGAGAGTACACCCTATTTAGAATAGAATGTGCCATTTAGTCTAATTTAGAACATAGAATAACAGAGTTGGAAGGGATCTTGGAGATCTACTGCAACCTCCTGTTTGAGCAGGAGACCCTAGACCTGTGGTGGCGAACCTATGCCATGAGTGCCACAGGTGGCACGCAGAGCCCTCTCTGTGGGCACGCACACCATCGCCCCAGTCCTAGGCCTTTAGCTGGGTTTTATAAAACTTTTTTGCTTTAGGCCTCCGTCACCATGTGCAAAAAAAAAAAAGTTCAATCAATCAATCAATTTCAACTTCTCCGGGAAAAAAAAAAGATTTCGCAAAGTTGGAATTGATTGATTGAACTTTTTAGTCCCACCTAGTCTGCTGGTACCACTGCAGCCATGCCTACCCAATGCACCATGCCCACCCAATGGGCCACACCCACCTGGCACCCAACAATACAGAAGTGGGTTTGGGGTTGCAGTTTGGGCACTCGGTCTCTAAAAGGTTTGCCATCACTGCCCTAGACCATTTCGGACAGATGGCTGTCCAGTCTCTTCTTAAAAGCCTCCAGTAATGGAGCACCCATAATTTTTGAAGGCAAGTCATTCCACTGATTTTGTAGGATCAGTTCTTAGTTTTGAGATTTGAGGATACACTGAAGGTAGATGCTCATATTTGTTCAGTCTTTCACATGGTTTCTTGAATTCAATCAAGTATTTACATACAAGCAATAAAATGCTTTATTACTTTATGCTCTACAATTTGTTGTGGATGACGGATAAACATCACCCCAGTCCTATATATTCTGTAATGATAGGATCCAACTATTATGTCTACAGGAATTGTTATTTTGGTATATCTTTATATAGCAAAATATGCGCATCTGTCTCTATAACAGAAACAAGAACTGATACATAGTCTGGAGTCATGTAGATGGAAAAGTAGAATTTGTCTAGGAATATAAAAAGAATCTTACCTGCAGCAAGGCAGAGGATCTATTTAATATAGCATCCTGTTTCCATATTCTTTCCTATTTTCTATAGGAACAGAATAGTTTTCTGCTATTGTTCCTCAGCAATCAGTGCTTCTGTTCCTGGAGGTAGCCTTGAGATCTCAGAGAAAGGCTGGGTTTAAGTGCAAAAGAACAGTAACATATAAGAGGATGGTTCTCACTGCAGGCAGAAACATTTGCACTTCAGGCTATCGTAGTGAAGAAAAAAATCTACACCACTTCTCTGTAACAGGCAAAAAAATCAGGAGTCTGGTAGCATCTTTTCTGACTAAAAAATGCTTATTAAAAGGCATACATTTTTGTGACTGCAATTCACTTCATCAAGTGTATAGAGTCTTTTGGTTTTCAGAATGTCCTGAGCCTCACATTCTCTAGCTCAGGGATGTCAAACTGGTGGCCCACAGGCTGGATGGGTCTTGTGCAGGCCACGCCCACCCCAGCTACGCAAAGGCAAAAAAGTCATGATATGTCACAATATGTCAGATGAGGTGAATGAGTTTGACACCCATGCTCGATCTCTTACATTGTCTTTATAAGAAACAGCACTGTTTTTCCACTACCCAACTATTTTTCCTCCTAAAACTGGTTTTTGACATTGCAATAAGTATGCAGTCCTACACATATGACAATATGAAATGTTATCTTTAATAAAATATCTGATCTATTTTAAACATATAGAAGAAGTAGAACCATCTCACAAGGAGAAAAAGTCTTATACAATGGTCATCCACTGTGCTCTTATTTTCTATAAAAGAAATATAATATCTGCTCATATTTAATAGATATTTATAGATTTTACTATACTAGTCTGCTTAAATATATTTAATCAATTTAAGAAAGGTGATTTTGAGAAAGGTAATTTTATTTCTGCTAAGATTTTATTAATGGTTCTATATAAATAAGATAAAAGGGACAATTAATATAACTTGTTCCTCACACAGAAAACCTTGTGAGCCTACTGGAATATCTTGATTCCTTCATTACTATGTAATCATTATGTGTATAATTAAAAAATATATCAGTCATTATGTAGTAATGATATTCTTTTTTCTTTCTGTCAGACAATTCTTCATCTCTTCTTGAAGATGAGGAGCTAAGTATGGAGGCCACCAGCTGGCAGCTGAACAACACATCCATTAATGGCCATGTTGAAAGTGCAACCACAGCCCGTTTCCCCAGCTGGGTGACTTTTGATGACAATGAAGTTAGTTCCATTTCTCCAATAACTATATCTCCTTTGAAACAAGAGTCCTCATCATTATCAGAAGGAGCAGCAACTACACAGGTCATAGATGTGAATACTAGTACCCCTTTATCCTTTAAAAAAAGGGAGCGCCCCAGGAGCACCTTGAGTGATTTTTCTAAAGTTCAGAAGCTAGATCTTTCTTCTATCACCTCGGTGCCATCAGTTAGTGGAACACCCCCCTGGAGTGCTACTAATCCATTCCTGGATGTATCACTAAAGAATGTTCAACCTTCTCCTATCAATCCATTCAGTTCTTTCTTTGAGGAAAGGGATAGGCATTCCCAAGGCAACTCTGTCACTGGAAACACTAGTAAAAACCAGAGAGATTCTCTTCTTATCCTTCATCAGGAACCTGATTCCATCAGCTTCAATGAGCCAAGTACACACCTTAGACATAGAGATGCTATTGAGCAACTCAAGCAGCTCCATATTGGTGATCCAGATCAGCAGGACATTCTCAGTTTGCCAGATGATGACCCCACAATCTCCACTGAGCTCTATAATACTTTGTCCACTTTGGGACCACCTCATCAAAAAGATGGCTGGCCAATGATGCTGAGGATACCAGAAAAGAAGAATATAATGTCTTCTAGGCACTGGGGTCCAATATATGTCAAACTGAAAGATAGAAAATATTTACAGCTCTTCTATGAGAAAGGACTGGAAAAGCCTTTTAAGGAATTCAAGTTTGAAATAAATCATGAGGTTTCAGAACCCAAGCTTCAAAATTATGATGAAAATGGGAGGATACACAGTGTGAGAATAGACCGTGTCACTTACAAGGAAAAAAAGAAATACCAACCAAAGCCAGCTGTTTCTCACATAGCAGAAAAGGAACAGGTTATTAAGCTAGGCACCACCAATTATGATGATTTCCTTAGCTTTATCAGGGCTGTTCAGGATTCATTGATGGATTTGCCTGCTTCCTCAACAGATTTAAGTACAGTAGGACTTAATTACCAAGAGGAGGAAATCACTGTTGATGTAAAGGATGAATTCTATGGAATTTTGGCCAAAGGAGACAACAGGATCTTGCAGCATAATGTATTGACACGAGTGCATGTGCTCAGTTTTCTTTCGGGACTGGCAGAGTGTAGGCTGGGCCTCAACGACATTCTTATTAAAGGGAATGAAATTGTTTTGCGGCAGGACATCATGCCCACCACCACTACCAAGTGGATTCAACTGAATGATTGCCATTTCCATTCATGTGTGGATGAAGAGGCATTTGCCAGTGCCCATGTCATTATGTTTAACCCTTTGGATGCTTGCCGATTTGAACTGATGCGCTTTAGGAGTGTGTTTTCTGAGAAGACCATGCCTTTTACTTTAAGGGTTACGGCTAGTGTCAATGGTGCAGAGGTGGAGCTTCAGAGCTGGCTGATGATGTCACCAGGGTTCTCATCCAACAGAGATCCTCTAGCTCAAGTCCCCTGTGAAAATGTGATGATTCGTTATCCTGTGCCACATAAGTGGGTGAAAAACTTCCGGAGAGACAGTGTCCTTGGGGAGAAGTCCTTGAAAGCGAAGGTGAACAAAACTGCTAACTTTGGATCTACCAGCGTGTCTGGTTCTGAGCCAGCAATGAGGGTAACACTAGGAACTGCAAAATACGAGCATGCTTTCAATTCAGTTGTGTGGAGGATAAATCGCCTGCCTGATAAAAATTCTGGTGGGTACTGCTGCGTGAATTAGATCAGCTTGTAAGAAGGGAACGTTAGCATAGTTCTTGGTATCCTATCCAGAAATTCAAATCAGCTCTTGTGTGAAATGAAGTTGTTCCATTTTCTGAAAGTATGACCATGTAGTATAACCTCAGTAATTTTATCTGTGTAGTTCCTCAGCTTTCTTCCCAAAAATATGCTTTCGGGTGGATAAGGGTTATATCCAACCATCCTCACTGGAATTCTTAAAATGGCTACATTGTCAAGCATCTGATCGTGTAGTACAGTGATGGTGAACCTTTTAGAGACCGAGTGCCCAAACTGCAACCCAAAACCCACTTATGCATTGTCGGGTGCTGGGTGGGTGTGGCCCACTGGGTAGGCGTGACTGCGGTGGTAACGGCAGACTGGGTGGGTCTAAAAAGTTCAATCAATCAATTCCAACTTTGCAAGATCTTTTTTTTTTCCTGCGAGAAGTTGAAATTGACTGATTGATTGAACTTTTTTTTTTTTGCACATGGCGGCAGAGGCCTAAAGCAAAAAGGTTTTATAAAACCCAGCTGAAGGCCTAGGATTGGGGCGACGGTGTGCGTGCTCACCGAGATGGCTCTGAGTAGCGCCTCTGGCACCCATGGCATAGGTTCGCCACCACTGATGTAGTAGATTCCTTGCCCAAGAGCCAGATAGTTTTCACCTTCCACAAAGATAATACCAGGAGAAAGATAATGAGGGATCAGGTAATGTATTGATGCAAAAATTTTCAGATTGCTAACTATTTTTATTTTGTTGTAGAATCAAGGGAAAATCTAATATGAAGCTTTCCCTCCTATTCTGTTTCAATCACTAAGCAGGACTCCTTCAGAATTTTATTTCTCATGGCAAATCTCACAAGATTTATTAGTGGTACAAAAAAGAGAAGCTCCAAGACATTGAGCCCTCTGAAGATGTAGTTGATGATCTGCCAGCAAAACTAGTACTTTCTGAATTAAAACTTCAGTGAAAGGAATCAGCTGGCCTTTCTCACATGTAAAGTAGCTCAGCATATGTGAGATTCCAGAGTTGTTCCTTTTTTCTGAATCTTTAGGAAATCAATTATTTTCCCACCTAAAATTCCACCTGGTATACTCTGTTCTCAGCAGGAACTGAGGAACAGAACTCCAGGAATTTTTAGTACTAACAGAATTTTTCATTGGTTTTAACTCTTCTCTAATCTTGGGAACAACTACCACATCTTTCTCAGCACTTTGGCTTCATTAGAGGAATTTCAGAGAGTGGTGATAACTGCCTGACTACAGTACAGCACCATCTTGTCTGGACATGCCTGTTCTCCTGGCATGTTACAAGCAAGGCTCTATTGAGAGCAGAGATGGTTCTTTTCTGTTCCATCGGCTTTGTTTCTGTAATATACAAAAAGATTAGCTTGTTTGTCCCAGGCAATTGAGTGTTTAGTATGTTTTTCAGTTGAAGGCACATGACCATCTTCTGTAAAATTGGACAGTGAACCGGAAATTTATTAAATAAATTATAAATTTATAAGCCACCCAGAGTCACCTTGTAGGGGAGATGGGTGGCATAGAAATTTAATAAATAAATAAATAAATTAAAACATCACTAGCCCATTGTTGACAGTGAATTAAAGCTAACTCTAATTAACAGATTAAAAACCATTTACAGAATGATTTTTCTCCTACTGGAAAGCATTCCTGTTTGCATCAGACAACAAACACACATGAAATAAAGTCAGGGATAAATAATCAAATGAATAGCAGCAGAGGTGATCAAGTAATAGAGGAGTGGTATAAAAAGGGAAGACAAAAATCATGTTCCAGAATTGATACATTCTGAGAAAGTTTGTCAAAACAGTACTAGCTGTGCTAAACAGTATTTCATGAAACTGAAAGTTTTTGAAATGCATCTAGTTAAGATCTCAAAGACTGAAAAGGGTTGATCAGGCATGTTTGAACATAGAATTTGAATGCCTCTATTCTGCATGGTGATCTCTCCCAATTGCAGAAATCTTTTGAAGTCCAATCATTTATCTTCGACTTTTTGTATAATCAAGTTTTAACAAAAATAAAAAATGAATACTAAATTAATTAATTACTTGCTTACATATTTATAATATTGATTATCTCTGTCCAGAGGCTGAGTAACTCCACCAACTTACAGACTGGATTCTCATATAATTCTAAACAAATAAAACCAAAGAGCCAATGAAAGTAGTCACAGTATAATCCTTTGCATGAAATACTGTAGAACTGTTGCATATAAATGATTGGACCATTGTAATCAAAGGGTGTTCATATAACCTTGGCATAATAAAATTTTACTTCTAACTTTGGCCTTGGTAAACTGATTTTGTGATGCATGGAAAAAAATTGTTGTCCGTTCTGGATACAAGGCAAGTACACAGTTGTCTTTTGTTATGTTTGAGATGCAGCTGTTATGATGTCATATCTCTGAACTTTTTTTAAAAAAAGTTATGATGGGCCAATTTGAAGTTGTAAGATCAAAACAGCTAAACTGAATTCCCCTGAAAAGCTTTGCTTTTTGTAGTATTGTTCCGACAGCAGCTTGGTAACTTCTAATGTGTGCTTCTTCATAAACAACTTGTTGACGCTGCCTGATAAATAATGGGCCTTGTTTATAGGCTGTGAGAACTCTCCATTCCAACTGCATATGATTCACTGCTTCAGGACAAAAGGATATTTTTAGTTAGCCAGCATCAGGCAGAATAAAGAATGTTGAGAAAATATTGATTCATGGAATGTTTTTCTGCCTAGCCTGAAAACAAGCCAGCACATATTGAATAAGAAAAGACTTAAAGTACAGCTTTGGAGTTGTACACTGTAGAAAACCAGCATTTAATCAAGCATCCCTTTCTCAATGTGTACTGTATGAAAACTGTTGGAATTTTAAAATAAATCCCCTGTAAAATATCATATAGATTATACACATGCACATGCACACGACCAGCAAATAGACTTTATTTTTGTGTCACACTGACTTTCAATATCTTTGCTTTGGAGCTTTGTGTATTGCATGCACTTAGCCAGAATGGCTTGTAATTGTGATTTATGATACAGTATGTTTTGAAGTTCAAGACAATTGTAGCCTATTCAGTAATTTGTAGATAAACAAACCATGGTTTTTGGTGCAGTTTTCAATCTCAGTTACAGAAAAAGACACTCTTAAATTAGGCAACTTTTCCCAAATAATTGTTCAAATGGAGTGAACAATTTTGATTCCATATTGCAAGTGTCTTCCAGAACACTGGATACCTGCTCCTCAAATACTGTTCATTGCTCCTATAGATGATGGTGAGGCTGGCAATGTCTTTTAAACTATCATAAAAAAAATCTTGATTCTGCTTCTAAAGCAGAAATTAGCAATCTTTTTGTTGTTGAGTGCTTCATAGCAATCTGACACTGCATACCACTCATCTGTTGGCTGAAGCAAGTTGTGAGCAGGTCAAAAGCCAAAAACAATTAGGATTTGTCATTTTCTGATTCTATCAGCCTCCTTGCGCTTTATTCTCTCTCCCCTTTTGACACTCTCATATGTCTCTTTCTATCCAGAAAACTGCTGATGAGCAGACTGATGGTTCATCCAGAAGTCTGAATTGATTGCTGACAGAACTTTCAATATTACAAAAGGGCCATACTACAGCCTTACGCATTTTAAGCAAACATCTACATGATCTATACCAGGGGAGTCAAACTGCTGGCCTGCGGGCCAGATGTGTCATGGTAAAACCGCGCCCACCCCATTGCCAGCAGTGGAAAAAAAGTTGTGATACATCATAACACGTCACGTGACGTTGTGAGTTTAACACCCCTGATCTATACTTTGTTGTTAATTGCGAAGTCGTGTCCGACCCATCGTGACCCCATGGACAACGTTCCTCCAGGTCTTCCTGTCCTCTACCATCTTCTGGAGTCCATTTAAGCTCACGCCTACTGCTTCAGTGACTCCATCCAGCCACCTCATTCTCTGTCGTCCCCTTCTTCTGTTGCCGTCAATCTTTCCCAGTATTAGGCCCTTCTCCAGTGAGTCCTTCCTTTTGAGGTTTGATGGCTAATAGGTGGCCAAAGTACTTGAGTTTCAACTTCAGGATCTGGCCTTCTAAATAGTAGTCAGGGTTGATCTCCTCTAGGACTGACCGGTTTGATCGTCTTGCAGTCCAGGAGACTCACAGGAGTCTTCTCCAGCACCATAGTTCAAAGGCCTCAATTCTTTTGCACTCAGTCTTTCTTATGGTCCAACTTTCACAGCCATATATTGCAACTGGGAAAACCATGGCCTTGACTATACCCACTTTTGTTGGCAAGATGATGTCTCTGCTTTTTAGTATGCTATCTAGATTTGCCATAGCTTTCCTCCCCAGGAGCAAGCGTCTTTTAATTTCTTGGCTGCAGTCCCCATCTGAGGTGATCTTGGAGCCCAGGAAAATAAAATCTGTCACTACCTCCATTTCTTCCCCATCTATTTGCCAGGAATTGAGAGGGCTGGATGCCATGATTTTGGTTTTCTTAGTGTTGAGTTTCTTCACCCACATCAAGAGGCTCTTTAGTTCCTCTTCACTTTCTGCCATTAGAGTGGTATCATCTGCATATCTTAGGTTGTTGATATTTCTCCCAGCAATCTTAATTCCAACTTTTGATTAATCTAGCCCCGCCTTTCTCATGTTGTGCTCTTCATATAAGTTAAATAGGCAGGGCGACAGTATACAGCCTTGCTGGACTCCTTTCCCAATTTTGAACCAATCAGTGGTTCCGTGTCCAGTTCTCACTGTTGCTTCTTGACCCACATATAGGTTTCTCAAGAGACAAATAAGATGGTCTGGTACTTCCATCTCTTTAAGAACTTGCCACAATTTGTTGTGATCCACACAATCAGAGGCTTTAGCATAGTCAATGAAGCAGAAGTAGATGTTTTTCTGGAATTCCCTAGCTTTCTCCATGATCTGATGTAGGTTGGCAATTTGATCTCTAATTCCTCTGCCTCT